TGGCGCTTTAGGCCGTGAATGGCGTGGCCTATGATCCAGAAGGGGATTGCATCGTAGGCCTGCGCGTTAGGGGTGGCAGCCACGACCACCACCACCGCTGCTTTTGACCTCTTCGAATTAAAGTATAGGATGATAAAGTAAAATATTGGAGGGATATAAGACACAACTCCAGAAACACCAGAAAAACGTCTCACAGGCAAATATCTATTTGATCCCCGCCCCACCCACAAACTGCTCCTCGCTCTTGCACACCGCTATCCCTCTCGCTCTCTCTCTCCTCCCCCCCCCCCCAAACTTCCTTCGACTCCTCCTTTTCCCCCAAGTCTTCCCGGATGAAGCCGATAAGGTTTTCCGTTCCAGATTATTAGTCCGGATGTCTCATCCTGGGGCATTATCGGTTAACAGGATCAGGATATCCGTTCCCGGAGAAGGGCTGCCATTCCAGATTATTAATCATGGTGTCTCGCCCTTGGACATTATCGGTCATGATGGGCGTGCTGTTCAGGATATCCGTTTCCGGAGAAGGGCTGCTTTAATCTTTCTATTACATGCTGCGTCTTGTTTCGGGTCCCTAGGTACGACTTAATGAGCTTTTTTTAATAAGCTTCAGAACGCATATTAATGATTTCTTTGGAATAATTTTCTTTACAACCGTCGTTATCATCGTTTCCCCTCCAGCTGGGGAAGAGAGAATGTGAGTCTACTTGAAGTACCACGTAAAATAATATCAGATTATTTGTTCTCTTACGTGAAAAGCGAATGAATTGTTGAAAACGGCTCTGTCATGCACGCACTCACGCACGCACGCACAGCGTCTCAAGCTTTGGCGGTCCCCGAACGCAAGCCACGCCTTAAAACGAAGGAACAGAAGGGGGTGATGATTGAGAACGAGGAAAATCCTGCTAAACATGCTGAAAAAGCCTTTTACGCATGAGGAAAGGCTGGTGAAACACGAGGAAAACGGTTTGAAAGGTGAAGGCTGCGTCGGACCTGGGTGCGACAGCCCTGGATCGGCAGGGCCGACAGTGATCTATGGAGGGAGAACGAGTCGACATCGCATTCCGGTGAGACGAATTCCCTGGGGATGCTCGATTACTCGGAAAGACATGAGCGTCCCGGGAGCGTGAAGCATGAGTTTCCCGCGGGCGCGAGAAAGGGTTCGTAATGCCCAATCCGCTTGCCTTGGAGTGCAAGAAGGGAAGAAAATCGAGGTAATCAATTAAAAGTAGGATTGGCCTTGATGAATTTTTTTTCCCGGCCTGGTCATCCCTGAGAAGAGAGAATTGAAAACGAATATGGATTTCTTTTTTTCCACTGGGACCCAAGCAAGGGGTTACAGGGCACAGAGTGAAGGATTTCGGATAATAAATAAACATATATATCGAAAATAATTTTCTGTGAATTTCTGCGCATTGTTCGCATATTCCGAAGTCGCCTTACTCATCCAGAAGGTTTTGTGACGTTTTAAATTAAATTATTATTTAGGTTCTAAAATTTGATTATCTTTTAAAAGCTGCCATTCCATTCCGTCGATCACCAGGGAACGGCTCGACCATGAAACTGCCAAGAAACCGTCAAGCAGGAACGGGAAGCGATGCCGAGAATTTCCTGGTGAAAAATGTTCCTCCTCGCTCGCCAATCGCCTCGATGCCGCGGAGGCTCCGCGGAGTCACTCCCCCCCTCCCCCCCCCCCCTGCGACCGCCCCTTCGGTCCCTTCCAGCTCCGTCGGGTTTTGCCAGTCGACCGGACGCGCTGCTTCTCAGTCGACCGGACACCGTTGCTTCGCCTTCTCGCTCGTCACAGGTGAGGACATTAATACGAAAATAGCTGCAATTAAGAGTATAATAATTGTTAACTGATTAATTAAATTAATTGTTGTTTTTTTTTCTGTTATTTAATTTTTAGCACAATTAGCGCGGGCCAAATACATTTCTAACGTATTCCTGAAAAGCTCAGGCATTCCTCTGGCAGTCCTAGCCAATATTTTTTACATTTCAATTAATTAAATTGAATTAATTTGATAATTCAGTCGTGGCCAAAAATGTAAGACCACCCCTCGAATTTAGTTTGAGGCAACAAATCGCATATTTACTCGGAATTAATCTTCAAAAACTGATGTTATTGTTTGAATAATCCAACATTAAAGGCTTTTACACTATAAGCACATGCTTTTTTACAGAATTCTCAGAACAGTCAATATTTAGTATATCCTCCATTACATTTAATAACCTGCATCCAAACGTCTCGGCATGCTATCCACAAGACTTGAGCAATATTCAACTGAGATATCGTGTATCCAAACATCTTTGATTGCTGTTTCCAGTTCTTTGGCACTACTTGGCTGTTCTTCTGCAACTTTGTCCTTGAGAATGACCCAGAGATTCTCTGGGGTTCAAATCAGGACTGTTCCCAGGCCAGTCAAGGACTTTGATATTCTTCTTCTTCTTCAAGAACTCAGTCACAATCTTACATCGATGGCAAGGCGCACCATCCTGCATGAAAATATTGCACTTATGTACGGCCATGTGCAGCTCCAACTTGTCTTTCAGTAAATCAACGTACTTTTGGCCGTTCATGGTCGTACCGTTTGGTACGAAAAAGAGTCCAGCCATTCCGTTGACCGACATGGCGCCCCATATCATGACACTCGGCGGGTGTTTCATCGTTTGTACGGTGTACCGTTCATGAAATCTTTTTCCAGTCGGCCTCCGGACATAGCGCTTGCGTGCGGCGAACTGCTGGATGGTAGATTCGTCCGAAAAAAACACTTGGTTCCACTGTTCAGCGGTCCAATTCACGTGTTTTTTCGCCAAGGCCAGGCGTTTGATCTTCAAAGCCAGTGTGAGACCTGGTTTTTTCGCCGGTTTGCACGATTTCAAGCCAAATTCTTTGATCAATCTTCGACTCACGGTTCTGCGACTTACATCCGTACCTTTTGCGAGAAGTGCTGACCGTATCTTGCTTCAGGATCTCATTGGAGACCGAACATCTATCCTCCTTATGGCGTGGTCGTCCTTCAGTGTGTCTTTCATGGACGCCCAGACCGCTTTCTGACCGAAGTGTTTACTGCGTGATGGTCAATTGAAAAGTGACTATAATAGGCCGACATAGAGATGACGCAATCTCATGCACTTTCATTTCAGACGCAATCACTGGGTTCATAAGAAAGAAGTACATTTTCTCAAGGGTGGTCTTAAACTTATGGCCACGACTGTAAATTTGATAATAAATTTCATAATGAATTTGATAATAAAGTTGATAATAAATTTGATAATAAATTTGATGATAAATTTGATAATAAATTTGATACTAAATTTGATAATAAATTTGATAATAAATTTGATAATAAATTTGATAATAAATTTGATAAATTTGATAATAAATTTGATAATAAATTTGATGATGAATTTGATAATAAATTTGATAATAAATTTGATAATAGATTTGATAGATTTGATTATCTTTAATTTGAATATAAGACTCTAAAACCCATTGCACATTATTTCTTACATAACATGTCGATCATTGCATTACGTGTGGACCCATACACTGCAAGTGATAAGAGTACCTGTGATCTTTCGTGACTTCGGTCATGTCGATGCTGATGTCGATGAAGGGCCATAGCGCTAGTGCTGCAAGTACTATGATGGAATCATCGCGCTCATTCGAAATGCACAGACCGAACTCGGGCAAAGAAATTACTAATACGATTTCAAGGAAATTAGGAATCGAGGGGCATTTCTCAAGAGACAAAAAAAAAGAAACTCGCCATGTTCCCACACTTGAGGGACGGACACACGGACACAGACACACACGGACATAGACGGTCAGGACGGGCAAATATGTGGTCTCTTTCAGGAAAAGGAGGCCCACTAAAGAAAGATACACCCTCCCGGAAAAAAAAACCTGGGCGCTGGAAACAAGGAAGGCGCTCGTCAGCACAGAGCCCTCGCCCCTAGGCAGTCTGCCCTTTCTTGGCTTATCCCACGTTTCCCTACGACCGTCTCGTCTCCCTTCTTGCTAGGGTGCAAATTCAATCATAGCAGGATGGATACGTTTAGCTTTGCGTCGAATGGGGTTAGGGATTCAAGCCGATTTTCCGTCATTTCACCAAACCGCTCAGGTTTTTTCTGAGGGGAGGGACATTTTAATCTTATAATTCGCGACGAACTCCGCGAACCAATCCTCGTCACGGCCGAACGGCATCGCATGCACCAACAACTCCACCTCATTCACAGCTGCCTCCAGCGTAGTCGCGGGAACCTCCTCGGAAGATGGCCTCGAACGAAGGGATGAAGGAACTGGTGATGGTCATCAACAAGATCCACGACGCCTTCGCCTCGTCCTCCGCGACCGACTTGAACCTCCAGCTCCCCATGATCGCGGTCGTCGGCGGTCAGAGCGCGGGCAAGTCTTCCGTCCTCGAGGCCGTGGCCGGCAGGTGAGCCATCTAGAGACTATCTAGGTCCCGTCAATAATTCATTACTTGGAATCTCAGAAAACGACTCCATTGCCCTCTTTTTGCAGGGAATTTCTACCGAGAGGAACCGGGATCGTCACTCGATGCCCCATCATCCTTCAAATGATTCCGAGCGGAGATGGTACCGCGAGATAATTTTTCTACCGAATTGTCCTCTCTTCAAAAATATTTTATTCCTGACTGTTCAAAATGGAACGATGCAAACGCAGGGTTACCGATGCTAATATAGGAAGTATAACAATACGGATTTGATGGAACACGGCCCCACACAAATAAAAATTCTGTCTGTGTTCCCTTGTTCGAACCGAAAAGCCGAGTACGTGGAGCTCGGACATCAGCCGAGGAGGAAGTACACCGACTTGAACGAGGTGCGGCGAGAGATCGAGATGGCGACGGAGAAGGCGGTGGCGGGCCAGGCCATCTCCACAACCCCTATCTCCGTGAGGATCTACTCCCCCGATGGTGAGTTTCAAGATTGTGGGTAGTTAGATCCAGTGAGGGAGATAACTGCGGCCCGATATGTCCGGTGAGGTAGATAATTGCGGGCCGATTGATCCGGTGAGTCGCTGAGTTGATTAGATTTTGCATCTCTTGCAGTCCTACAGATCACTCTGGTCGACCTTCCCGGCTTGACCAAGGTCCCGGTCGGGGACCAACCGGATGACATCGAGCTGGTCGTGAGTCCTGTCTCTTTCTTCCGCTGGAAAAATAAACCTCTGGGATTTATCGGCTGTACATTGAAAATCGTATTTTCGCGTATTTCTGGTCTATTTTTTTTACATGGTAGTTGTCCAGACAGAACGACCCGTCTGCGAAGTTCGAGAAATGACGTCACCGAATATAACTTCAACCTTTCAAGGAGACATTGGAATTTCTAATGCAAAACTGATGAATATGTTGTGACATATCCCTACAGATTATTTTCATTCCATCCCACAGAAATGTGGGTTATCCTTTCTACTGCCGAAATACGTGGTTGTTCGTTGGCACTTTCTCTGCCTGGCTGCCACTATCCTTTGACTTTAAAGCGATCATTAGTGGCCAGGAAATTTAATTTGATTTATATGGTAGGGTGAAGCGAAAATTATGCTAAGCAAATGTACCTCTATCACCAGATCTACTTTTTACAAAAAAAGGGTTTTTGCCCCCACCCCCCCCCCCCCCCCAACCGCGGAACACCTTTCCGTCCTCCACCTTCCATTTCCGATCTGGTGGCCCTTGAGCTTTTCAGAGGTGAATGGTGATTTTGTCTCTTCTGCTAGATCCGTAATATGGTGCTGCAGTACATTAATCCCGAGAACACGCTGATCCTGGCCGTGACCCCTGCCGCAGAAGATCTGGCCAATTCTGACGCTCTGCAACTCGCCCGTCAAGTCGACCCTAAAGGTAAGATCGGATAATGTGCCAATGTCTGTCAATGGTCCCATGGGCAATTGGCAGATATGTTCCCATGCATGGTCCCATGTGACATTTCCTCATTTTCTACGTCCCCTTTTAATCCAGAGGAACACAGGGAACAAATCGGTTAACGCCGGCGAGTCTCTTATGCCGAATTTATGTGAGATTCCGGTTAGTTTTTGTTAGAGCTGCAGTTGCATGTCATCATTATACAGTGTATCCACCTACTTTCTGCGAATGTGAAGGGACTGGGAGCCAAGGCGAAATGCTATTTATCTCTTTTACGTACGTCCTCGACGCGTTTTTGCGAGCGAAAGCAACTCTCATGCGTTGCCATCATGCTTTGCATCAGAAAGCTTTGCATCAAAAAGCTGTGCATAATTTTTTTTGCAGGTTTGAGGACGATCGGCGTCCTGACGAAGCTGGACCTGATGGATCGAGGCACAAACGCGCGGACCGTGCTGCAGAACCACCTTTACCCGCTCAAGCGAGGATATATCGGGGTGTTGAACAGGTCCCAGGAGGACATCCAGGAGGGAAAGGACCTGAGTGCCGCCAGGGAGGATGAGGAGTATTTCTTCCGGAATCATCCTGCTTACAGGTCTCAGACGCCTTTCGTGGAGGAGGTCCATAGAAAATAGATATCGATCGATCGGGAGTTAATATAATTGGAAGATGCGTCATGATTATCTTTGGGACATAGGGCTAGGCACGTCTTGTTTCATAGACACCTTGGATAGCCAGTTTTTCTTGAACTTCCATCCGATGTTCTCATTGGGGCGATTCCGTTTTACATCATCTCTTTTAAATGGATTTAAATTGAAACGGTGCATTGTCGTTCCCTCGCCGCAAGAAGACCGTCGATTTTCGGATTCGTAGTGACCTGCTGGACCGGGTGGGAACGAGAACCCTTCAAAAGTTACTGAACCGGCAACTGGAGCAGCACATCAAGGAGAAGCTCCCGGGGATCCAAAGCAACTTGAAGCAGCGGATGACCGACCTCCAGGAGGAGCTCCAGGTCTTGGGGGCCTTCGACGACCGCAGGACGAACAACAACGAGATCTTGCACATGTCCGGGTGGAGGTCTTCGGGGAAGGGGGGAAGGAGGGGAGGAGGAGGGTGAGAACGAATCGCTTTCCTCTCTCTTGCAGGGTGATGGCTAAGTTCAATAGGAGGATTCAGACTTCTCTGAAGGGGTTCGACGAGACGGTGGAGATAAAGGAGTTGCAGATGGGTGTAGTCATCAATGAGACAATTAACGTCAAAATCATCAATGGCCTTCTGAACGAGGTAACGTCTCCTGGAGAACTGATCGGTTCTTTGAAATGCAACGCTTTTCTTATACTTCGCCTTGATACGGGAAAATAAATTTGCTATTTGAAAATAAATTGGGAAACACATTCTACTCGACGATGCTGTATTGAAGGCCGGGAGACCGGATAGCGAAAGCGTCAACGTGTCAACATGTATTGCGTTGCCTCACTGTTCCAGATCCAATGCTGCTTGAGTGAGTCATATTTGACTCATTTTTGAAATCGCTTGAAAAATTATGCGACACATATCAGGCGTGTCATTCCCTTAATAGTCTGCCAAAATAATATAAACATTTATTAAACATATACCAGGAATTCTAATGTATCTTCTTCTGTCGTGTGTGAGGATAAAATGAAGCATCACTGGAGAAGCACAAAGGACTTCTGCCAGTTGCACGTAGCACGTAACGCGTAGCCTTTGCGATCGAGTTGCCATCTCGCGTCGGTACAAGGAACCTCCCTTCGAGGAACTGGCAGGCCAGCTCATGTTCATGCTTTCCTCATTTCGACCATCAACGTCCCATCATTAGCGAATAATCATGATTGAGTCCATGTCGTAGCGCAGGCTTGTAGTAATCGAAGCCCTAATAACAACTTTCTGGAAAAGATCCCGTTCCGAATAATCACTTTGACGTTGCCCTTACAATGAAAAATTGATATTAATAAATCATTGAAAAGACACAATGGCCTAGAGGCGACATAGGATACATATAGAAAGCAAAATTAAAAAAGAAATTGTGCAGTTAAGAACCCAATATCATGGGTCATGTCTTTTGGCAGTCCCCCAATCTAGTACTAATACTAATACTCGTACTAGTACTGGTACCGACAGTACATAAAACTACGCATCGGGAACGAACTATTCTCAAGTAATGAAACGAAAGTGGACATATAGCATTTTGAAACCTTGTACGATTTTTTATGTATTACAAGCTGGGTTACCCGGCTTTTCCCGGGATATTTTTTTTAGTAGTAATGTAGCTGTTGTTCTTTTATGTGCTTTTTTGTTAGTGTTTATTTGTCTACGTCCGGCCAGACCGACGGGCACTGCTCTGGCCATTTTATTTTTATTTGTTTTTTTCTTATTTTTTAAAAGTTGTTCTAAATTAATTCTTAACTCAAAGGGGCTCTTCTTTCGCAAAAATCTAACTTAAATGAGTTTCTCAATGATATTCTTCCCATTCGGCACAACAACGTTGTATCAACATTGAGAATAGGTTGAAACGTTGAGACTTGGTTGAAGTTGAGAATTCGACGAAAAATCATCAATGAAATGCTAGTTATTCATAATTAACCGTATTTTCAGCATTTGGTGACAACTCGTGACTTAAGGAAGTCGTTCAGAGGCTATTAGGAGCAAATTTAAAAAAAATCGTATTCTCAATGTTGTTTTTACGTGGAGTTATCCACATCATATCAACAGAAAATAGGTTCTACGAATCGACGCGAGATGGCACATAACCGCCAATTCCGCAATTCTTATACTGATGCCTTTAAATAACCAGTACCCTGCGTTTTTCAGACAGTACCCAATCTTTTCTCATTTACAGCATAGGGGAAAGTATAGGAATTCCTAGATAGATATGTTTAAGGAGGTAATCAGGCAGAAGGAGACTCAAAGTACTTCTGGCTAGTGGGTCCGAGAAGACAGACTCAATTTTCCTAAATCTCCACATGGCACGAGCCCTTACTCAGACTCGTCCATGATGGGTAGTGTATAAAAACCATGCCCGCGTGGTTGTTTTCCTCTACTGGACCGAGAGGTACTTGAGTCATGCACGTACTCAATGTGAATTCGGTTGAAGAAATAAAACTCTGATGGTCTTTTACGTGGGATGATCGTATTCGGTAGGGTACTGCTAGTATCATACCTCTTGGGAACCATTTATGGAGTTATCGAGTCCATATTCATCCGACAATCAAAGCTCATTCAAACCCTGGAATAGGGTGGAGGTACTATAATGCCCTTACGTTGAAAATTCAACGTTGACACAACGTCGCACAGCATCAACTTTTCAACGTTGAGCTGGGTTTCATTTCAACATTGTGGCAACGTCATGGCAACATGTTACGTTGAAAAGTCGAACTTTTCTCAACATTGAGGCAACATTGCCATTAACATTTTTTCAACGTTGACACAACGTTGTTATGCCGAATGGGTTATTTCGCAGGAAAAAACTGAANTGAAACGGTGCATTGTCGTTCCCTCGCCGCAAGAAGACCGTCGATTTTCGGATTCGTAGTGACCTGCTGGACCGGGTGGGAACGAGAACCCTTCAAAAGTTACTGAACCGGCAACTGGAGCAGCACATCAAGGAGAAGCTCCCGGGGATCCAAAGCAACTTGAAGCAGCGGATGACCGACCTCCAGGAGGAGCTCCAGGTCTTGGGGGCCTTCGACGACCGCAGGACGAACAACAACGAGATCTTGCACATGTCCGGGTGGAGGTCTTCGGGGAAGGGGGGGGGGGGGGGAAGGGAGAGAAGGGGAAGGGTGAGAGCGAATCGCTTTTTCCTCTCTCTTGCAGGGTGATGGCTAAGTTCAATAGGAGGATTCAGACGTGTCTGAAGGGGTTCGACGAGACGGTGGAGATAAAGGAGTTGCAGATGGGTGCAGTCATCAATGAGACTATAAACGTCAAGATCATCAATGGCCTTCTCAACGAGGTAACGGCTCCTAGAGAACTGATCGGTTCTTCGGAATGCAACGCTTTTCTTGTACTTCGCTTTGATGCGGTAAAATAAATTTTCAACATCACATTTTACACGGCGATGTTGTAACGAAGGCCGGGAGACCGTATTGCGAAAGCGTCAACCTGTCAACATGTATTTCGTTGCCTCAATGTTCCAGATCCAATGCTGCTAGAGTGAGTCATATTAGGCTCATTTTTGAAATTGGACGCGCTTGAAAAATTATGCGACATATGTCAGGCGTTGCATTCCCTTAATATTCTGCCAAAATAATATAAGCATTAATTGAACATATACCAGGAATTCTAATGTATCTTCTTCTGTCGTGTGTGAGGATAAAATGAAGCATCGCTGGAGAAGCACAAGGGACTTCTGCCAGTTGCACGTACCACGTAACGCATAGCCATTGCGATCGAGTTGCCATCTCGCGTCGGTTCAAGGAACCTCCCTTCGAAGAACTGGCAGGCCAGCTCGGTATCGCGTTGGTGCAACGCTGACCACTCGCCTGTCCCTACAATCATCTGAAGTGCATCAACAATTCCATGTTCCCGCGGTGTTCATGCTTTCCTCATTTCGATCGTCAACGTCCCATCGTTAGCGAATACTCATGATTGAGTCCATGTCGTAGCGCAGGCTTGTGGTAATCGAAGTCCTAATTAGAAATTTCTGGTACAGATCCCGTTCCGAATAATCACCTTGAGGTTGCCCTTACAATGAAAAATTGATATCAATAAATCATTGAAATTACACCATGGGCCAGAGGCGACATAGGATGCATATAGAAAGCAAAATTGAAAAAGAAATAGTGCAATTAAGAACCCAATATTAATTTAGATCATGGGTATGTCTTTTGGGAGTCCCCCAATCTAGTACTAGTACTAATACTCGTACTAGTACTCGTACCGACAGTACAGAAAACTAAGCATCGTGAACGAACTATTCTCAAGTAATGAAACGAAAGTGGACGTATAGCATTTTGAAATATTGTATGATTTTTTATTTATTATATGTAGTGACTCCTCTGAAGGCATTGCACTTTGCAAATGAGAGTCCGAGCTCTCGTAGCAATTTCGTGGATTGGCTTTTCACCAGAGTGACATACAAATAAAAAAAAATTCTTAATCCCTGAACCTTTTTTATCTTCGCAGAAGCAGCTCCTGCCGACTCGGAAAGAGATGTTGACCGCCTTGAAGAACCTGGTGGGCCTGGAGAACTACATCGCGGCGCCGCAGCAGGCGTTCCGGCGGATGGTGAGGCACATGGCCGGGAGGTTCCGGGAGCCGATGAAGGTGGCTGTGGGGCTCGTGATGGGGCACGCCGGCGAGGCGCTGAGGATCAGCGCCTTCAAGGTCGTTTCTCGTGGAACGTATTGCAATTTATTCGCGGAGATTTCGAGCGACACATCATGGTTCTCTCAGGAGATCCAGTCCTTTCCCCGGCTGATGCAAGACGTGCTCGAAATGTCGATGGAGAAGCTGCGGCAGAACGAACTGGAGTGCAAGAAACTCCTCGACATATACGTGGAGGCGGAGGGCGCCTTCATCAACACTCACCACCCGTGGATGGACCGGATCGACGGCCTCGCCTGGAGCAAGCAAAGGTCGTCTCATGAAATTCTCATCATTAAAGTTTCATTGATGAAACGGTGGAGATATGACCAGACTTTGGCCTTCGGCCCTGGAAAGGCCAAAAGGTCAAAGAGGGCGTCCATTGCCCACGCTTTTGGGCCATTGCTCTTCGAACTGCAAATCAATTAGAAGGCAATTTTGCGGGTCTCTCCGGGTTTGATCGACTCGTACCACATTAGCTGTTGCTGTGTTGGGGAGAAATTTCCTCAGTTTTGGGTTCAGTCACAATTAACTGAAAACATTTCAGACTTTTCATGAGTTTTTACATTGAATTTCTCTTCCTCGTTGCTGCTTCTTCTAGCATGATTTTAGATGACAAAGGAGCCCTCAAAGATAATTGGTTTGTGAGTCTCCAGTTATAATCGATTTAATTCCAAGGACATGATTTGAAGGCCTTTAATGAACTAGATTGATGATTGATGGGTTGGCAAAACCGATTGACGCTGCAACATTTCCTTCGCTCGGCTCGATTTCTTTCAGCGAGAGAGACGAACTGACCGCGAACAACCTGATCGCCCCGAGGATTGTTTCGGCTCCGCCATCGCCGAATGCGACAAAAGTGAGACAGTTTTCATTATAAATTAATGCAAACATATTGATGCGAACGAGCCTCGAGTCCGCCCCAGTCCGTCCACAGTATCCAATTCATGAACCCACAGTATCCAATTCATGAAACCACAGTATCCAATTCATGAACCCACAGTATCCAATTCATAAACCCACAGTATTCAATTCATGAACCCACAGTTTTGCGACTCGAAGCGTTTGAAATCGGGGCCAAATAAAGAGAATGAAACACTTCGTCGCAATGTTTCATCATATTTTTCTGTGGCACTCTCCGACCGACCAAAAGCCGCCGACACGGGACTCGTTGCAGGTGACGAAACTCCATCAGGGGTATCTGGAGCTCGAGAGCGACGCCACGTTCTCCAAGAAGAGGAAATCCGTCTGGGTCGTCGTCACCAACGTCAGTCTCGTCGTCTACAAGGACAATAAGGTGGGCGAGCAGGAAAAATCTTTTGAATAAAGGTCATCCTCATCGCTAATTCTTCCTCATCGTGCAAGCAGGAAGAAACGGAAATGATACAGCTGAAAAATAACGATATCCAAATGACGGTGAAAACCGACATGAAAAAGGGCATGAGGCAGTTCATCGTTTCACGAATCGACGGCAGGTAAGAATTCCTCACTCCAATTCATCCTTTCCAGACATATACTAACGTCAAACAGTAACGTTACAAGTTAGTGAAGGGCTCCTGGTGAGAGTTGTGATGGCATCATGTCTCACTATTTTGTAACAAGGTAAACGTTTCTGAACATTATGAGCGCGTGCTCGCCAAGTCAGGGGCGGATACATTGGGGGGGGGGGTAGGTTAGAATTTTATTAATTTATGCGAAATAGCATCTGCATTAAATTTTATTGGAGCGAATGAAATAAGTACGCAAGTTCTTCCTCCAGACGAAAAATAAAAAGGCGAAAGGACGAGGAATGGTGGTAGGCGGTTGGGGGGGGGGGGGGTAGAAACTTGGGAACAGCCCCCCCTATGGAAAATTTTTGTGTCCGCCCCTGCGCCAAGCATTAAGAGCGGCGCGTGACGTCTGGAATGTATCTTTTAGGATTTCTCCATGGCATATTTAAAGTCCAGATGAATTAAATAATCAATAATTTTGATAATCATTAAGTCTCTCAAGGTCAGGATTCCGCCAGTTTGTTAAAGTAGGGTCCAAGAGGGTGCAACGCAACAGACGTTACGCCCTCTTGGATTCAAGTCGCGCGGTCCCTTTTCTTGCCGCGTCAGCACAGGTCCCTCACTAACGTCCCTCGGATTCCCGATTCCCTCAAGGCCCATCTCCCTCGGGGCGGGGCGAGTGAAGACCCTCGAGTTCGCCCTCGACGGGAAGGAGGGCAGGGATGCAGGGGACCTGTGGGAGGCCAAGTTCAAGGAGGCGGGCGTCGACGTCCGCAACATCGGCAGCTTCACCACGTTTGTAAGTCACAGGCTTCCATATATGTTAAAAAGACTCCGGGACTTACAATTTTTTTTAACTGTCATTTCCGGGCACTTTTTAAATTTCATTTCATCAAGAATGAATAGAAGATGTTGTAAGGAATAATCGAATTAATTTTTCCAAGGCATCTTCATTACAGCACCTTCATTTTACCATTGTTGCACCGTTATTTCACCATTTCTTCACCGTTACCATGCCTTACCACAGCTCGAAAACGACGTCCCGCAGAACGTCCCCCCACCCCCGCCCCCGTCCGAAGACATCGACTTCTCGCAAGTGAGTTCGCCTCGCCTTCCCTCGAAATAATGATAAAAAATCCGGAAGACCATCGACACCTTGCTTCCCTGCCCCTGGCCAGAAACTTTCCGCTGACAAGGCGCTGAACAAAGACGCCCAGGGTTTCATGGAAGAGATCCACAAGTACATGCTGATCGTGAAGCAGACCATCCAGGACCTCACGCCCAAGTACATCGTTTGGACGATCATCGACCAGGTCGGTTTTTCGTGGCAAATATTTAATGATTAAATTCATTATTTTATTTTTTAAAATGAATATTGTTATTAAAAACTATTATTCGCAATAATGTCATATGAATACGATTACGATTGATAAATTTGACCAAAAAAAGTTATTGATTTTCCTCAGCTGCTGACATACATCGAAGAGAGGCTGGAGGCTGAACTCCGGGACCGGGGCGACCTCGTGAGTCACGTCACACTCAATCACGAAATGACACCCGCCGACACGTCTGACCGTAATTTCTCACCCCCCCCCCCCCGCCCCGCCCCGCCCCGACAGGACCAGCTGATGGAGCCCGGCGGAGACGAGGAGCTGAGGAAGAGGCGGAAGCTGAACGAGTACGACGCGACGAGGAAGGCGGTGGAGATCATCGACGGGATCGCCTGGCCTAGCGCCTCCGCGGGGCTCTGAAAAAAACTTCTGCAGCTGACGAAATTATTTGCTGCTCTCTCTTGCATTAAAATTTAAGTGGTCCTAATTTCATTCATAGTCGCACGTTGGGGTAAGTTCTGCTAGCACTGACATTTCTCGGTAAATTTACAAATATACAAATTACAGCTTTATTTTCGCATTTCAAGGTACTGCAGATCCGCTCTGTATTTTTCTCTAACAAAAGTTCCAGGTCTATAATGCACCGCGCCCCTTTCTAGCACTGCCATGTAGTATTGCATAGGCTTCCGTTCTGCTAAAGCTTATAGAGGGACATATTTAATAGCGTTCATGCGAATTATTTTGGTTTCTCTTGTAAAAAATGTTGCACATTTTTTCATTTCATTTCATAGGAACGATTATTCTCCCTCCAGCAAAATTCTTTACTGAAATGAATGCTTTCCAGAACAGTTGGCAGTTTGACTTCATCAGATACAAACGAAGAATATTTGCATGAAAGGAGCGCCGAATGCTGTACTTCTGCCGTCATCCATTAATGCAACGTCTTTCGGCATGGACTAATTTCATCAGAAATTTCCCACATACGCTTCCACAGCCCACGGACAATTCTCCCTAGAAATTTGCGTCACGATAGTTCGGTCCGAGGCACGGAGACTGAATCTGCGAGACCCACTGTTCCAGTGATGGAGAGAGCAACTATCCGCGACGAAGTCATCCACCATTTCCTTCGTGACATTCACATTCCAGGCAGCCCTCAGACAAAACCAATGGAGTGGATAAAAACAGTTCTTCGGGTATGCCACAACACCCCGGCATTCCATCCAAGTGCTCCAATAGGCCTCCTCGCGACACCATTGGCTGAAGGTTCTCTGGAAGAGCCAGGGACCAGTGGATCTGTGGTTACTAAATATCGCGCACTCTCCCATGTTCTGCATGGCATCCTCAAGGAATGAGTGACTGGCTGGAAATCTGAAAGCAGCATTGTTTGTCATGAATAATATGTTCGTTATAAACGATTCCGCCAGTCCGTGAAACGACTCGAGGTTATATGATCAAAGTCCAGATGCATGCCCCCTCGCTTCCAGATGTATGCGAGCCTCTGAAAGTCGTTTAGGAACATTATGTTGTCCAGGTTGTCTGGTGTATATTGCTTTGAGCCCAGTAATGTTCCTAAAACCGTGTACTTCAACTCCTCTTCGGGGTTGATCAACTCGAAAATGACGTTTTATAGAGGGAACACGTGGAAGTCCGTCATATCCTTGAGGTGAACAACGATGATATTCCAGGGGGGATTGTGCCTCGTGGCCGATTCCACAGCAAGGGCGTCCCTCCCACTCATTTTGCCCCTTAGCCACAAAAATACGATTCTTTTCATCCACTCGGCATCGGATCCGGAGCTGGAAGTCTGCGGTTTGCCATGCGGCTTGTATTCCTGCGGCCGCATCTATTCACTCATGAGAGCGATTATCTTATATATTTCAATGTAGGCGTAGATGGACTTGCACGCTTGTGTTTGCATGTTCACGCAAAAAGTAGGAGCAGACTAAGTATCAGACTATAGACTAATACGTATAGAATACACTAACCTAGGAGTTGTAACTTGTAGGGTAACAATTCTCAATGTCACTACTTTTAATGGCTCGCTATGAGCACAATTTTCAACCGAGAGCGCTGAGTGGCACATTTACAGAAAGCTTGCCTCATGCTGATTTGTTTTGCTTCGTTGCAGATTTTTTAACTTGAGGGGTCAATATTCGCAACAGCAGGGAGTGTGGAACGTGACTAAATTCATGGAGACGAGGTCAAACGTCGCTTCCCATTTTTGCCATTTTACGTTACTGATGGACACATTTTAGCATAATTCCCGTATAATTGGTAACATTTATTTGATATCAATGCAGAGGTTTAGCCTTAATTTCAGGTATTACTCATTAACATCGGTAGTCAACTATGAAAAAAGTCAACTATGAATAACGAAAAAGTCCGGTTTGATGAATCTCCAGACATCAAGGTCACAGCAAGAATAACAATCTCTGACAGTTAGAGCCTGTAATTTGACGAATAGGCACGGTACGTGAGGAAACTTCCTGTCTTCGAGTCCTTCAATAAATGGAATAGAGCCTCGCGGCTTGTGCAACTATCACATTATGATGACATAGGTAGTGGGAAGTAAGGGAGTTAGATAATTCCATAACTTGACCTTAATCAATCAAATTCGTTTTCTAAATATAAAGTGTGACGTATGAGGATGGGATTCAGAGGGGCAAATAGATGTCTAGGGTTCAGTGGTGTAGTGGTAGCACGTCTGACAGGCAATCACTGGGTCCGGGTTCAGTTCCTGGTGATTCTATGGCTTTTTTTGGCTTCTCTTGCCTTCCATGTTCCGTTACTCATTCCCCCTCCATAATATTATTTTTGCTTGAATAAAACGGAGAGACATGGAAAGCTGAAACCTGAGAACCACGTGCCTACCGAGACGAGGAGTTCAGGAAAAATTCAAACTTTTAGGTCCATGCCCTGGGGGCATATTTTTGGAGGCCGACGTTTTCAAGTTTTTTTTTGTCCTGGCGTATTGAGCTAGTGTGGAAAGATGAAACTAGGTACATAACTACCTATTAGGATGCTGCTTGCAAAAAAATTCATAAGTGCCCCGGGGGTACGAATTTCTAAAGGAGATGTTTTCAAATAATTTTTTTGCTTCAGTTAAAATGATGAACATGGAAAGCTCAAACTTTGCATGAATGTGACTACTGAGACAAGGAGTTAAAGGAAAATGTTAAGTCCCCATAAATCCTCTGGTGGATTTTTTTCGAGGAGCGATATTAAAAAAAATTGACGCGGCGAATTGGACAGAAATGGAATGGAAAACTTGGCACACTTATAAGTTGCACGATACTGTATTATTGAGTTGAGAGAGTATTCAACTTTCATGGTGCATCCACTCCGGGCATAGATTTTGGGTGGGTCGGCTTTTCCAAACATGTTTTTTCACCAGCAAAAAGGACAAACGCATAATATTGAAATTTGGTGGCCATGTAGTTCATTGAGGATGGATTTCGGTAATTAAAAAAAATGGTACTTTTCGGTTAAAACGGCATTGGGCACATATTTTACAAAAGGTGTGTTTTCCCAAATTTTATGATCCAGCAAAACAGAGGGCGCAGGAAAAATTTAAAATTGGCTAAGAAGAACATGATGCATAGCTGAATAAAGATAAAGTCATTTTTCTAATATATACAAAAGATCGTGACTGACTCACTGACGCTAATTCTAACCATGTTCTAGAATGGTTAGAAATCTGAAACTTGGGATCCATGTATCTTTTGGGATGCAGAGTTCAGAAAAAATCCGACTTTGGAGGTACATGCCCTGGGAGTACACATTTTGGGGCGAGAATTTGCGAAGTGGATCTACGTCAGATGGCGAAATTCGAGCATCGCCGAAATCACCAGAGATTCCAATCAGTGTGATGCATTTCTTCGGCTGGGAGAGGGGGGGAAGGGGGGGGGGGGAGGAGGGTCGTTCTTGGCTTTTTTTGGTGAGGAAAATAGAATGATGAAATGCATTTTACTTCCGCCTGAACATATTATTAACAGAGGAGGAAATTATGAAGAAGTTCCCAGAAGCTAATGAGGGAAATTCAATATTTCATGAAAAAAATCGAATTTTAACTTGTAAATTTTAATGTGTAAAAAGTCTGCAATTGAACCTCATCAACTCAGCGAGCAGGAGAAAGTCGCTCGTTGTTTCCCGCTTCTGATTTTTTTCCGTTCAATGTGGAGCTCGCATCACGTGTTCTCGTCGAAGATTTGAGGAGGGATGATCGATAAAGATCACGTCGAATGGGTTTTATTACGCATGTTTCGTTTCACGACTTTGCATGGGGTGCGAGTGACTTTCGTGGAAGAAAAAAACCGCTCATCAAAATCATAGCGAATTCTACCGAACCCCACTTGCGCATCTCCATTACGCCAGCAATAACGGGAACATCCGGCCTCATTCATTCTCCACACAAGGTCACAGAAGTACCTCATGGATTAATTTTCCTGCAACCCCCCCCCCCCCCCATACACAATCCATGAAATGGCTGTTTTTACGAAATTTCCTACTCAGAAAGCAAAATTAGCCATCATTAGCTGCTCTCATTGCATAGCAACGATGTTCCTCTTGGTTTTTTCGCACCGCTTCCCCTCGCAGCTCGGGAATTGCTCGCGAAATTTGCGGCCGCGCTGCGACTAGGTGGGCGTGAATCCGCGTTTCACTCCCTTTAAGTGGCCATATATTCTTCTCAGTCGGGAGAAAATGGAGATCATGACGTCATTAGGGTGAATGAGACGATGAGAAGCGAGGTTCAACGTCAGAAAAAAACATGTATTATAACCATCAGAACATTTAATTGCACTCCCCCGCTTCGAAACGCGACAAAAATGATCCGATGGTCTTTCCTCGACGCGCGACGCGGAAAAGCGCCTACACGCCGTTTTTTTCCCCCAGATCTTTTGAGATGTCTGATGGGAATCAGAACGAGTGCGAGGGAGGAAGGTCTCCAAGTTGAAGAAATAGAACTGGTCCATGACTATAAGAGCGTTGTCCAGTTCAACCTCCCGGAATTCTTCGAAGGACACGAGGACCCCCTTGGATTCCGCTTCGGGAAGTTCAGGAAAGAAACGCAAATGCATGTTCGCATGCATGCAGAAGGGGGATGAGTTCCAAACGAGCAAGACCGCCAATGCCCAAAGGAACATCTTGGCACTGCTCTCGGCTTCGAAGAGGAGTCGGTCAGCCGTGACCTTTGACGGCACTCTCTGTCCATGCTGAAGATTGCAGAGAGGGGCTCCAGAGGTATTCATTTATGTCCTCTAAAACAATTCTAGAGCGGAATTCCAATCCAGGTTTTAAAAAAATATATTAAAAAATGGAGACGAAATGCACCGAGAACCACGCTTCTTCCCCTCGCAAGAGCGACTCGCTCAGCATGGCGAAATCGGATCCAATCCATCGAGTTCTTTTCCTTTGAGGAT